TGTTGTTGTAGAGACGGGGTCTCACTCTGGCTCGTTTGGCTCAGGGGGGTCTTGGCTGGTCTCGAACCTCTGAGCACAGGTGATCCACCCGCCTCGGCCTCCCATAGCGCTGGGAATACAGGCGTGAGCCACCACGCCCGGCCGGTTTCCCCTTCTTTTAATTAAGAGTGTATGTTCGTCTTTACAGCACCGCATCCCGGAAAGACCACTCAAAAACGAAATGCTTCGTAAATGACCGAAACTTTACGACGACAAAAGGGCTGCTGCAGGTACACCCGCTGAAGGCTAATGAGCGGAGGCCTAACCCGAGAGGTGGCCCGGAGCACCTGCCCCGCACCTTGTGCTGGAAACCCTGCTGGGTACTGAGGTACCTCTGGGCTGGACCCGCCTGGCCGGCTGCCCCGAGGCTGCCCCACCCAACTCCGGAGAGCGCCCGCGGCCACCGCAGCCCGCGTTCGTTCTAAAGGCTTCTACGCCGGTTCTCCCGGGCTCGGAGAGCGGGGTGCGTGCCTGACGACCAGAGGGGACACCCGGGAAAGAAGATTCTCGCCCTTCCCGGGGAGCACATGGCACAACCGCTAAGCTCGCGCAGGCGCAGAGCCACTGACACGCCGCTTTCCCTCATTTCACCGCGAGTGTGTCCCGGTCCCGTTACCTTGAGGGCCTCCAGTCCCATAAGACGAGACTTGCGGTCCTGATCCTTGATGATGAGGAAAGGGCGCCCATATTCATCGAAGGCGAGGGTCCCCACGGACGCCATGGTGCAGCAGCCGCACGAATTACTTCCTCGCAACCGGCGGAGACCACCCCGGAACCGAGGACTCGCCTTCCTGTCGCGGAAGGGAGGGGGGCAACAGCTGGCGCATGCGCAGTACGCAGGGCGCGAGACTTATGTTTCAACCGAGACTAATTTCACGCTAGATAGTACCTTCTGGAATCAGCGGCCCTTGGCAGCCTCTACCATTCAAGAAGCCGTAGGGGGGGAGTTTGAAAACACTAATGAGAAGTTTTAAAACCAACAAGTTAAAAGTAGATTGAGTTTAATCATTTTTCATAAAACTTCACAATTGAGATTTTTGAACAGTAGATCCTAGGGAGGAGCTCATTTACTTACAGCATTCTTTCCTCCCTTCTTCCCACCCCGGGCTACGAGAAGATAGTAGAATCCACTTCCTTTATTAGGGAAAAAAAAAAAAAAAAAAACCCTTGTGGGAAATCTCGCGATGGAGGGCGGAGGAGGTGAGGCCGGCGCGGCCCTGCTGGCTGCTGTGGGAGCGG